TATGTAGTCTGTTAGACTAGTTTAAGTGTTTATGTAGTTAATAAAACCTTACTTGTATCACACTTGACGTGGTTCATTGTTTGCTTATAACTGGAGTCACTTAATCATGCAGATTTATGCTACAAGCTTTTGTAGAATTGTACAGTAAGAAAGTTATTTCCCTTAACCAGGAAATTAACGTTCTTAGAATTGACAAGACAGTTGACCCTGAGAGGTCAGCTAAATATCTACAGCGGATATAAATATTCATAATTAATTATAACTAGTTATGATTAATTATTCATATTTCCCATGAGCTGATTCGTTACACCTCTGTGGGCCGTGTTCACCCGTGGGCCGTATATTTGACACCCCTGCTCTAGAAGCTTGCATTCTGCAAGTGAACGTTGCTTTATTGTGCCATCCCAAAGAGGCACAAAATCACTTTCACTGACTTTTAAATTAAATGTTTTCTCCTGGTGGAATGACCTGCCCAATTCAATCTGAGCAGCTGAGTCCTTAGCCATCTTCAAGAATCGGCTAAAAACACATCTCTTCCATCCTTATTTGACCCTCTACCTCTAGCACTCTCTATTCTAATTCTATTCTTTAAAAAAAAGCACTGTCCCTTTTAGACTTGCACTCTATTCATTTGCTGCTTGTTTTCTAAAAAAAAAATCTTGCTTTCTAATCTTTTTGTATTCTATCTGTTTTCTTTTCATTTATTATACAATTAACAAAAGCAAAAAATACTCTAACACTAGCTTGCTCTATTCTTTTTCTATTCTACCGGTTTTCTTTTTATTTATTATATTATTTAAAAAACCCTTGCTTATAGTACTTGTATATCATTGCTCTTTTGTTGATTTTGATTGCTTCTATTGTCCTCATTTGTAAGTCACTTTGGATAAAAGCGCCTGCTAAATGACTAAATGTAAACTAAAAACATGGTTTCTTTTAAAGATTTATTTTTTAAGTATTTAAATTATTTAATTATATGACATTGATTTATGGTCTGAGAACAGATGATTTTAGGGGTTGTGAAGGATGATGTAATGCCATACTTGTAATAAAATAAGAGTAAATACACTGAAAAAATGGTAACATAAAAAAGGTAACATCTAAATGAAGTCCACTAAAACTACTTCATGTTGGTTAAATCATGTAGAAATAGCTCTTTAAAGTAACAGTTTCAGGTTATTTTGCATTTAGAACATTCTAGTGAAAATCTCTTATTCATTTCAAAGTGTTGCTATTTTTAATAGTAATGGCTGCTAAAAACTGTGGCGCATACAGTATTGAAGAATCTGTGACACACACTTACCCACTAAGACCATATCATGTTTTTGTCTTTAACTGTATCACAGGACAAGTCTGATTCCAGGCGAATCACATCCACTCTCTAAGGATTTGCCAATCCCTCTTGTTAACCAATGGCCATCACTCCAAAACTACAACAACCAGGAGGACAGGAAACTGTACTACAGGTGATGAGAGGCTCTCTTTTATGTGGGCCAACAGTTTACTCAAAATCCCAGGCATTAGCCCAACAACTGGCTTTTTGTTTGTGTTGCATCTAGAATGTGACACAAATTCAACTGCAAAATACATTTATGCCTTTGGGTCTGTTGTTGTCTTTTAGGGGTAGTTTCCCCAGCCCGGAGCCACATATAAGCCTAACCACAGATTCTCAGAGGATGGAAACGAACCAGAATGGAAAAGCCTGGTGCACAGCAGGTACACCTTAAAATCCACCTACAACAATTTTAATGTGGTACTGTAGCTTTGTTTTGACTTAGCTGTCTAGTTGTTGGTTGATCAATTGAGCTACTAGCTGTTAGATGGTTAAGCAGGTTTTTTAAGCATTTTGAAGTTTGCCCAAAAGTCTTAACGTTGACAGACTTTTGACTATCAGAATGAGGTGTGGTCCTCTGTATATCTTATTCTGGAAGGAATTACTTAGACAGGAGGAGACTGACAGACCATATTGTGTTTACATTCTGTTTAGTGACACGTTTGTATGGAATGGTTGATAATCGTTTGACATTGATAATAGATTGGTTACTCATTATAGTAATATATATATATATATATATATATAGTCACATTACGCTGCTGAGGGAACACGCTGGAGTCACGAGGAAACGTTTAACAGTCTTTATTAACGAAACACAGGAGATAATCCACAATAGGTGCTTGAGCCAACACACGTAGATGTCCGGGAGGGGGCCGGCAGACAGAGTCCAGGGAGGAGACGATGGAGGGTCGAGCCAGGGAGGAGACAGGAGGGGCTTGGAGCAGGAGGAGCCAAGCAGGACCCAGGCCACAGGCTGACGGAGGGAGGAGCCAGGGAGGAGGAATGGCCGCCAACTCCAGGGGGCCAACCAACGGCGGTGGAGCAGGTGGTGGAGGAGCCCGAAGTGAAGACTGAGAGCCAACGAGCCAGGGGGATGCCGAGGATCCGGGGGGCCAGAGTGGAGCCGAGGGCTCTGGCAACCGAGGTGGAGCTCCGGAGATCTGCGGCTGAGCCGGAGCGACTGTGGACCAAGGTGGAGCTGGAGGGAGGAAGGAGCCCAATGGAGCCGGTGGGACGGAGCGACGAGGTGCAGTCGGAGGAGCGGAGTCCTGAGGCGATGGCGGGTCGACACCCGACCAAGGTGGAGCCGGAGGGACGAGGGAGCCTGGTGCAGCTGGTGGATCGACGGGTGACGGTGGAGGCGAGGGAGCTAGGAGCCGAGGTGGAGCCGCTGGGTCTACGGGCTGAGGCGGAGTCCGGGCCTCGGAGGCGGTGAGGGATTCTCCAGGCAAGGCGACGCTGGAGGATGGCAGACCCGCGGCGTTCGCACCATAATGATGGTGGGCTGAGGGCGAGCAGAGGGGCTACCAGAGGACAGCGGTGGAGGAGGCAGGAGGCAGGAGCGGGTGGGAGGGCGGGCATTTGTGAGTCATTTGTGAGTGGCACTGGAGGGCGCTCTGGACTGGATTCGGGGACTGGAGCCCTCTCCTCTTCACTTTGGCACTTTCGCCGCGCCATACTCAGCTCACCCTCAACCGCGGTGCAGGGGGCATAGCTCCTCTCCGCGCTCACACCGTCCGCGACTTTCTCCCTCGTGGCGAGCATTGTCGCCAGTTCTCGCACCTGGTCTGACGAGTTGAGCTCTACGTCCGGGGCGATCCTCTGCTCAGTCACTCGGCATTGCACTGGTTCGTAGATCGCTGCAGGAATTAGCTCTCTATCATCGGTGGGCTCGGGCTTTAGCTCCGCACAGCGGGGAGATGGTGGGCTGGGCTCTGGGTCCGGAGTGGATCTGGCGAGATCATCCTCAGGAGTGACGATGAGAGGCAATCCGTTTCTCGCTAGAATCCACTCCACAAACGCGGTGAAATCCGCTCGAGGACCATCTTCGGACGACGGCGCTTTGCACGAGGTGTTTAAACTTGCATTGTAGAACACACAGAGCGTGTCGTCCGGGTAGCTGGTGGTGTTAGCTAGCAGCTGGAACAGTCTAGTATGGTCCTCGAGCGATCTCTCCCCCTGCTCCAGCAGGAGGAGGAGATATTCCGGGCAAAGGAGGGCATCCATGAGGGAACAACAGAAAAAAAAGACACTGGGTAAAAACGGGAAACAAAACGGAGGGTAGACACACGGAGGTTACTATTTTGGTAAGGTCTTCTGTCACGTTACGCTGCTGAGGGAACACGCTGGAGTCACGAGGAAACGTTTAAAAGTCTTTAATAACGAAACACAGGATATAATCCACAACAGGCGCTTGAGCCAAAACACGTAGAGAACGAGTAGACCTGACGAACACAAACTCAACAGACTAGGACTTTTATACAGGGGATGACTGGGGAAACACAGGTGCATGGGATGACTAATCAACAAAACGAGGACAGGAACATGACCAAATAAGGGAACAGGGCAAAACATGACTCAGACAGTCCATGATTCTGACATACTGTATATATATATATATATATATATTAGGGATGCAC